GATCATACACCATGACCAAGTGGAATTTATTCCGGGGATGCAAGGATGGTACAATATTCACAAATCAATAAATGTGATACATCACATAAACAAACTGAGAGACAAAAATCACATAATCATATCAATCGATGCAGAAAAAGCATTTGACAAAATCCAATACCGTTTTTGGATAAAAACTTTCAACAAAGTGGGAGTAGAGGGATCATCCCTCAACATAATAAAAGCCATATATGACAAACCCACAGCCAACATCATACTCAATGGGAAAAACTAAACTCATTTCCCCTAAGAACAAGAACAAGACAGGGATGCCCACCTTCACCACTCCTGTTCGATATAGTACTGGAAGTGCTAGCTATAGTGATCAGACAAGAAAAAGAAATAAAGGCAACCAAATTGGAAAAGAAGAAGTAAAACTATCTTTATTTATAGACTAGAGGCCTGGTGCACAAAAATTTGTGCACTCGGTGGGGGGGGACATCCCTCAGCCTGGCCTGTGCCCTCTCGCAGTCTGGGACCCCTCGGGAGATAATGACCTGCTGGCTTAGGCCCACTCCCGGGTGGCAGAGGGCAGGCCCAATCCCTAGGTGCAGCCACTGGTCAAGCTCAGAGCAGGGCCGATTGGGGAATTGGGGCGCTGCCCCCTGTCATGCACAGAGCAGGGCGGATTGGGAGGTTGCGATGCCACCCTCAGTCACGCTCAGGGTAGGGCCAATTGGGGGTTGGGGCACCGCCCCCTGTCACACTCAAGGCAGGGTCGATGCGGAGGTTGCGGCGCCACCCCCTGTCACGCACAGAGCAGGGCCAATCAGGGGGTTGGAGAGCTCCCCCCTGTCATGCACAGAGCAGGGCCGATCAGGGGGTTGTGGTTCCACCACTGTCATACTCAGGGCAGGGCCGATGGGGAGGTTATGGCTCTACTCTGTCACACACAAAGCAGGGCCCATGGGGGGTGGGGGGTTGGGGCGCTGCCCCCTGTCACACACAGAGCAGGGCCTATCAGGGGGTTGCAGCGCTGCCCCCTCTCACACTGATCCTGGTGCTGGGAGGCCTCTCAGCTCCGCTGATCCCAGTGCTGGGAGGCCTCGCAGCTCCGCTGATCCCGGTGCTGGGAGGCATATTACCCTTTTACTATATAGAATAGAGGCCTGGTGCATGGGTGGGGGCTGGCTGGTTTGCCCTGAAGGGTGTCCTGGATCAGGGTGGGGGTCCCCACTGGGGTTTCTGGCCAGTCTGGGTGAGGGGCTGAGGGCTGTTTTCAGGCTGGCGGGTGAGGGAAGCTCCCAACCACTCCTTTTTTTCTTTTTTTTTCTTTTTTATTCTGGGCCAGCTTTAGCTCTGAGACTCCAGCTCTTAGGCCTCCGCTGCTGAAAGAAGGTATCTGGTTTGTTTGGGTTCTATAATCAAAACTCTGTATCAACTCCAGCTCTGAGATCCCGGCTCGCTGAAAGCAGGTTAATGGTTTTTTTTTTGTTTTGTTTTTTTTTGTTTTCAAATATATTTTTATTGATTTCAGAGAGGTAGAGGGAAGAGAGAAATAGAAATGGCAATGATGAGAGTCACTGACTGGCTGTGTCTTGCATGCCCCCCACTGGGGACTGAGCAGGCAGCCTGGGCATGTGCCCTTGACTGGAATCAAACCCCGGACCCTTCAGTCCACAGGCTAATGCTCTATCCAGTGAGCCAAACAGGCTAGGGCTACTTCCCCTTTTACTTTTCAACAGGCTTTTAAAAGTAGAGAGTGTAACCAAGTGATCCAGAGAACGGGCATCATTTGCCCCTAAAGGTCCCATGTGTGGAGAGGGCGCAGGACACAGTGTAGCACCATGTGATGGTCCATTCTTGCCCTGGGCCCGGCCCACTGCAGTTCCTTAATTCCTGGTAGAACCACACTCAGCATCGCTGGGTGTTGCCTGCCCTGAGGGTCCCTGCTCTTTTGGGGTCTGCAAATGCCATGCTCTTGGCCCCTCACTGCCTGTGGGGGTACAGGGATGCAGAATCTGTGACTCCCCGGAGCCTGCACCCAGTGAGGCATCCTCACCTTTTCACTCTGGGGTAATGGTTTTTTTTTTTAGCTTCTATATTTGTAACTATGTTTCAAACTGAAGGCTCAGCAGGCGGGGAACGTTGGTTTCCTCCGTCACTGAAGCAAGCAAGCCTCATGTTCAGTTTAAGCTGCCTGGCTGCCGGCCTCCATCTTTGCTGGCAGTTAATTTGCATATCTCGCTGATTAGCCAGTGGGAAGGGTAGCGGTCGTATGCCAATTACCATGTTTCTCTTTTATTAGATAGGATGACATGATAATATGCATAGAAAACCCCAAAGACTCCATAAAAAAACTACTGGACCTAATAAGTGAATTTGGCAAAGTAGCAGGATTCAAAATTAACACCCAATAATCTATGGCCTTTTTATACACTAATAATGAACTCACAGAAAGAGAAGCGAAAAAAACAATCCCATTTACCATTGCAATAAAAACTGTTAAAATACCTAGGAATAAATTTAACGAAGGAGATAAAGGACCTGTATTAGGCAAATTTCAGGACTCTGAAAAAAGAGATAGAGGAAGACATGAACAAATGGAAGAATATACCATGTTCATGGATTGGTAGAATCAACATCATTAAAATGTCCATACTACCCAAAGAAATCTATAAATTCAACGCAATCCTCATAAAAATACCAATGCATACTTCAATGACCTAGAACAAATTCTCCAAAAATTTATCTGGAATAAAAAAAGACCCCGAATAGCTGCAGCAATCTTTAGAAAGAGGAACAATGTAGGAGGGATCACAATACCAGATATCAAGCTATACTACAAAGCCACTGTTCTCAAAACTGCCTGGTACTGGCACCAGAACAGACATATAGACCAGTGGAACAGAACAGAGAACCCAGAAATCAACACAAGCCAGTATGCTCAATTAATATTTGACAAAGGAAGCAAGACCATACAGTGGAGTGAAGACAGTCTCTTCAATAAATGGTGTTGGGAAAACTGGACAGATACTTGCAAAAAAAATGAAACTAGACCACCACCTTATACCATACACAAAAATAAACTCAAAATGGATAAAGGACTTAAATGTAAGATGGGAAACCATAAAAGTCTTAGAAGAAGCCATAGGCAGCAAAATAGCATACATTTGTGTTAGCAATACTTTTACCGATACAGCTCCTAGGGCAATGGAAACTAAAGAGAAAATAAACAAATGGGACTACATAAAAACAACAACAACAACAAACTTCTGCACAGCAAAAGAACCATCAACAAAACAACAAGAAAGCCCACTGCATTGTAGAACATATTTTCCAATGTTATCACCGATAAGAGTTTAATTTCCAACATTTACAGGGAACTCAAACAACTTAACAAAAGGAAGATAAACAATCCAATCAAAAAATGGGCAAAGGACCTAAATAGACACTTTTTGAAAGGGGACGTTCAGAAAGCCAAAAGACACATGAAAACATGCTCAAAGTCGCTAATCATCCGAGAGATGCAAATCAAAAAAACAATGAGGTACCATCTCACACCTGTCATGATGGCTACATCAATAAATCAACAAACAACAAGTGCTGGAGACGATGTGGAGAAAAAGGAACCCTCCTGCAGTGCTGGTGGGAATGCAGACTGGTGCAGCCACTGTGGAAGACAGTATGGAGTTTCCTCAAAAAGTTAAAAATGGAACTTTTATTTGACCCAGTGATCCCATTTCTAGGAATATATCCCAAGAAACCAAAACACCAATCCTAAAGGATGCACCCTTATGTTTATAGCAGCACAATTTACCATAGCTAAGATTTGGAAACAGCCTTAATGCCCATCAGCAAATGAATGGATTCGAAAACTGTGGTACATCTACACAATGGAATACTACACTGCAGTAAAAAAAAAGGAATTCTTACCATTTGCAACAGCATGGATGGAAGTGGAGAGTATTATGCTAAGTGAAATAAGCCCATCATTGAAAGAAAAATACCACATGATCTCACCCATTTATGGCTAATAAAGAACATTATAAACTGATGAACAAATAGATACAGTGGTAGAGCAGCATCGAACAGTCTGTCAAAATACAGTGGGAGGGTTGGGGAGGGTTGGGCGGGGCGAGGTAAGAGATCAACTGAAGGACTTGTACGCTTGCATATAAGCATAACCAATGGACACAAGATACTGGGGGTAGGGGAGGACAGGGGAAGGTCAATGGAGGAAAAAAGGAGACATATATACTACTCTTTGTAATACTTTAAGCAGTAAAATTAAATTAAAAGAAAAAGAAAAGAAAAGAAAATATACCAATAACCAATAAAGACATAAGAAGATAATTAACAGCACTAGCTATCAGGGAAATACAAATCAAAACCACAATAAGATATTATTTCACACCCATTAGGATGAGCACTACCAAAATACAAAATAGAAGCCTGCCAGAATGGCTCATGGTTGAGTGTGGACCTATGAACCAGAAGGTCATGGTTTGATTCCCAGCTTGGGTTTCGAGCTTGATCCCCAGTGTGGAGAGTGCATGAGGCAGACAATCAATGATTCTCTCTCATTATTAATGTTTCTATCTCTCTCCATGTCTGAAGTCAATAAAAGCAAACAAACAATAACAAAATCACCACACACTCAGCAAAATAATAGGTATTGACAAGAATGTTGAGAAATTAGAATCCTGTGTATTTCTGGGAGAAATGTAAAATGGTAGAGTTGCTGTGGGAAATGATATGCTGATTCTCTAAAAAATTAAACATAGAATTCTAGGAAAATAATACAAATTATGTGTTTAAAAGGGAAATTAAGGGAAGTGGGAAGAGACAGAGAGTTGACTCTTTCAGACCACAGTAAGATAAGAACATAATGGTAGATTAAAAGTTAGCTTTCAATATTCCTCCCCATCTCTACCTTGCTCTTCTTGTAACACCATACTCCATGTTGGGAGTGTGGGTGGAGAGAAGGGATCTGGCAGAGCTTAGCTGGTGCCCCTCACCATTTTTCTTCCCAGCCAGCTTGTTCATCAGGTAGGATTTGCCTGTGCGGTAGAGACCCACAATGGCCACCACCACTACAGGCTGTGTAATGGCAGACAGGATCTTCAAAGCTTCTGGATTAACCACTAGTTGCGTGTTAGTGTTCTCAATGAGGCACACCGGGCCTGGCATGTGGATGTCTGAGGCCATTTCCAGGGTGTCACCTTATCTGCAAGCAAGGAGATAGGGTGGATTAGAATTTCCAATCTGAGTAGATCAAGAACTTTCACCAGGTTATTTTGATCTAGAAGGTAGAGTCATAAAATTCCCCAACGTGGCCAAAAGTTCTGTGTCAACAGTGAGATGGATGAGGGCAAGATTTGTATTATTTTGGAAAGTTACAGAAGTGCAATTAAAGTAGTCTATTAAAACAATATTGATATGACAAAGACATCAACATTTAACCACTTTCATGAACAAAATCTTTAATTTACCATAGAAAACTTTCTTTTTAGATTCTCATTAAAATTTTCAGACTAGAGCCCGCCTGGTCTGGCTCAGTGGTTGAGCGTGGGCCCATGAACTAGGAGGTCAGGGCTCAATTCCTGGTCAGGGTACATGCCTGGGTTGCAGGCTTGATCCTCAGTATAGGATGCATAGGAGGCAGCCAATCAATGTTTCTCTCTCATTATTGATGTTTCCATTTCTCTCTCCCCCTTCCTCTCTCTAGACATATAAAAAATTTATTTGCAGGACATTAAATATAAAATAGAATAGGGTTTAGAGAGTAGTTTACATCCTGGCCATATGTAAGAAATTTAGTATTTATTTGTTAATTAATTCTGCTATGAATAAAGACTTTTGGGAATAAGTGTTTCATCATTTGATGTATGCTCTTTGGACAAATTTTACAGATTTTTTTGTTTTTAATCCTCACTGGAGGATATTTTTCCATTGATTTTTAGGGACAATGGAAGGGAGGTGGGAGAGACACAGAGAGAGAAACATCGATGTGAAACAGACACTTGGATTGGTTGCCTCCTGCACATGCCTTCACCACAACCATTCAATCCACCCTTCATCCAAGGGTTGACACTCTAACTGCTGTTCAAAAACAGGCAGGGCATTTTTCACAGATTTGAAATGTGTTTTTTTCTACTAGTTGTGCTTATTTTTCAGAAATGAGGGTTCACAGAACTGTGTATACTGCGATTCTGGAAGTGGAACTAATATAACTTACATTACAAGTTTTATAAAAATGTATGGCTCTATTAAAAACATGACTAGGGACCTGCCCAAAGCCTATGTATGGGCTTGTGCAAGCAAGGGGCCCTATACTTCAGCTTCATTAACTTCACGAAAAAATTAGCCTCCAACTGAAAGGGGATAAGACTGAATTGCTGCAAATACTAAATGTTGCCAAAAACCATGTTTGTGTATGCATGTGTGTGGTGTAAGGGAACCAAAGACTATGAAATATGGATTAAAAGATCAGGAACGCTAAGGAGAAGGTTGTTCGATGAAAATATATTTCTAATCATACACTTATAGGTTGTCTATTTTGTTTTGTTTTTCCATTTGGTAGATGAGAAGGAGAAGCAGGAAGAAGACAGGAAGGGAGAAAACTGGGGAGAGAGAGGGAGAGGAAGAGCTGAAAGGAGAGAGAGGGAGGATTGTCAGAGAAGTAGGTAATGAGGAAAGTTCATGTCAAGCCAAGGAATTCAGAGGCAGTTTCCAGAAAGCAAGAACAAATTTGCTTGAGAGCACAGAGAGGTCAGATAAACAAAATGTTGGCTTTAGCAATGCAGGTTCTTTAAGAGAAAACTTTTTAGTAAAGTAGTGGGGCCAAATTCTACTTGTAAGGTGTAAGAAAGAAGTTGGCCCAAAGAAATTGGATCTAGTGAACCGGGGCTATATTTATTTTATTTTATTTTAAATAATTGTTATTTTTCAATTACAGTTGACAATATTATATGAGTTTCAATGTACTACAAGTGGTTAGACATTTGTATACCTTAAAAGGATCCCTTCTATGGGTCTAATACCTATCTGGCAGCATACACAATTATTACATTACTAGAGGCCTTGTGCATGAATTCAATCTGACTGGTGATTGGGGCTGATTGGGGCAGGCTGGATGGGGGAAGGGACTGAGGGAGATTGGCTGGCCAGGGAGAGAAGCCTGGGAGGTTGGACAGATATAGGGGGAAGGGCTGCGGAGGTTGTCCAGCTGGCTGGGGGAGGTCAGCTGTGCAAGGTTGGCTGTGGGAGCACACTGACCACCAGGGGGCAGCTCCTGCATTGAGCCTCTGTTCCCTGGTGGGCAGTGGTCATCATAGGGGCTAGTCGTTCTGGTCATTCCGCAGTAATGGTTGCTTTGGCTTTTATTATATAGACTAGAGGCCCGGTGCACAAAAATTTGTGCACTCAGGGGGGAGGGGAGAGAGTCCCTCAGCCCGGCCTGTGCCCTCTCGCAGTCTGGGACCGCTCGGGAGATAACGCCCTGCTGGCTTAGGCCTGCTCCCGGGTGGCAGAGGGCAGGCCCAATCCCTAGGTGCACCCCTGGTCGGGCTCAGAGCAGGGCCGATTGGGGAGTTGGAGCGCCGCCCCCTGTCATGCACAAAGCAGGGCAGATTGGGAGGTTGCGATGCCACCCTCAGTCACGCTCAGGGTAGGGTCAATTGGGGGGTTGGGGCACCGCCTCCTGTCACACTCAAGGCAGGGTCGATGGAGAGGTTGCGGCACCACTCACTGTCATGCGCAGAGCAAGGCCGATCAGGGGGTTGGGGAGCTCCCCCCTGTCATGGACAGACCAGGGCGGATCAGGGGGTTGGGGTACCGCCCTCTATCACCCACAGAGCAGGGCCGATCAGGGGGTTGGGGTCCCGCCACTGTCACACTCAGGCAGGGCGGATGGGGAGGTTATGGCTCTACCCCATCACACACAGAGCAGGGGGAGCGGGGGGTTGGGGTGCCGCACCCTGTCACACACAGAGCCGCAGGGCGATCAGGGGGTTGGGGAGCTCCCCCCTATCAGGCACAGAGCAGGGCTGCTCAGGGGGTTGGGGCGCTTTTCCCTGTCAGGAACAGAGCAGGGAAGATAGGGAGGTTGTGGCCCCGCCCCCTGTCACACACAGAGCCTCAGGGCGATCAGGGGGTTTGGGCGCTGCCCCCTGTCACGCTGATCCCGGTGCCAGGAGGCCTTGCAGCTCCGTTGATCCCGGTGCTGGGAGGCATATTACCCTTTTACTATATAAAATAGAGGCCTGGTGCATGGGTGGGGGCTGGCTGGTTTGCCCTGAAGGGTGTCCTGGATCAGGGTGGGGGTCCCCACTGGGGTGCCTGGCCAGCCTGGATGAGGAGATGATGGCTGTTTGCAGCTGGTCAAACACCCTTCAGGGTGGGGTCCCCACTGGTGTGCCTGGCCAGTCTGGGTGAAGGGCTGAGGGCTGTTTTCAGGCTGGGACTGAAGCTCCCAACTGCTCCTTTTTTCTTTTTTTTTTTTTATTCTGGGCCAGCTTTAGCTCTGAGGCTTGGCTCCAGCTCTGAGGCCTCAGCTGCTGAAAGTAGGTATCTGGTTTGTTTAGGTTCTATAATCGAAACTCTGTATCAATTCCAGCTCTGAGATTCTGGCTCGGCTCACTGAAAGCAGGTTCTGGGGTTTTGTTTAGCTTCTATATTTGTTACGATGTTCAAACTGCAGGCTCAGAGGCCGGCAAGGCAGGCGGGGAACATTGGAGTCCTCCGTCACTGAAGCAAGCAAGCCTCATGTTCAGTTTAAGCTGCCTGGCTGTCGGCCGCCATCTTGCCTGGCAGTTAATTTGCATATCGCCCTGATTAGCCAATGGGAAGGGTAGCGGTTGTACGCTAATTACCATGTTTCTCTTTTATTAGATAGGGTTATTTACTATATTCCCTAGGCTTTACTTTACATCCCTGTGACAGTTTTGTAACTGCCAATTTGTATTTCATATATATATATATATATATATATATATATATATATATATATATATCCTATCTAATAAAAGAGAAACATGGTAATTGGCGTACGACCGCTACCCTTCCCATTGGCTAATCAGGTCCTTCCCTGATAGTGACTGAGGGTGGCATCGCAACCTCCCAATCCGCCCTGCTCTGTGCATGACAGGGGGCGGCGCCCCAACTCCCCAATCGGCCCTGCTCTGAGCCCGACCAGGGGGTGTACCTAGGGATTGGGCCTGCCCTCTGCCACCCGGGAGCAGGCCTAAGCCAGCAGGTCGTTTTCTCCCAAGGGGTCCCAGACTGCAAGAGGGCACAGGCCATGCTGATGGACCCCCCTCCCCACCGAGTGCACAAATTTTTGTGCACCGGGCCTCTAATATATATATATACTCTAATATATATACTAGTATATATACTCTAATAGTATATATACTCTAATATATTTACTCTAATATATATACTTTAATATATATACTAGTATATATACTCTAATAGTATATATACTCTAATATATATACTAGAGGCCCGGTATATATATTAGAGTATATATACTATTAGAGTATATATACTAGTATATATATTAGAGTATATATACTAGAGGCCTGGTATATATATTAGAGTATATATACTATTAGAGTATATATACTAGTATATATATTAGAGTATATATACTATTAGAGTATATATACTAGTATATATATTAGAGTATATATACTAGTATATATACTAGTATATATACTAGTATATATATATACTAGAGTATATATATTAGAGTATATATATTAGAGTATATATACTATTAGAGTATATATACTAGTATATATATTAGAGTATATATATATTAGAGTATATATATTAGAGTATATATATTAGAGTATATATACTATTAGAGTATATATACTAGTATATATATTAGAGTATATATACTAGTATATATACTAGTATATATACTAGTATATATATATATACTAGAGTATATATATTAGAGTATATATATTAGAGTATATATACTATTAGAGTATATATACTAGTATATATATTAGAGTATATATTAGAGTATATATACTATTAGAGTATATATACTAGTATATATATTAGAGTATATATATTAGAGTATATATACTATTAGAGTATATATACTAGTATATATATTAGAGTATATATACTAGTATATATACTAGTATATATACTAGTATATATATATACTAGAGTATATATATTAGAGTATATATATTAGAGTATATATACTATTAGAGTATATATACTAGTATATATATTAGAGTATATATATATTAGAGTATATATATTAGAGTATATATATTAGAGTATATATACTATTAGAGTATATATACTAGTATATATATTAGAGTATATATACTAGTATATATACTAGTATATATACTAGTATATATATATACTAGAGTATATATATTAGAGTATATATATTAGAGTATATATACTATTAGAGTATATATACTAGTATATATATTAGAGTATATATATTAGAGTATATATACTATTAGAGTATATATACTAGTATATATATTAGAGTATATATATATACTAGAGGCCCGGTGCACAAATATTTGTGTACTCGGTGGGGAGGGGGGTCCATCAGCATGGCCTGTGCCCTCTCGCAGTCTGGGACCCCTTGGGAGAAAACGACCTGCTGGCTTAGGCCTGCTCCTGGGTGGCAGAGGGCAGGCCCAATCCCTAGGTACACCCCCTGGTCGGGTTCAGAGCAGGGCCGATTGGGGAGTTGGGGCGCCGCCCCCTGTCATGCACAGAGCAGGGCGGATTGGGAGGTTGCGATGCCACCCTCAGTCACTATCAGGGTAGGGCCGATTGGGGGGTTGGGGCACCGCCTCCTGTCACACTCAAGGCAGGGTTGATGGAGACATTGCTGTGCCACCCCCTGTCACGCACAGAGCAGGGCCAATCAGGGGGTTCGGGCACTGCCCCTTGTCACACACAGAGCAGGGCCCATCAGGGGGTTGGGGAGCTCCCCCCTGTCACGCAGAGAGCAGGGTCGATCAGGGGGTTGAGGAGCTCCCCCGTGTCACTCACAGAGTAGGGCCGATAGGGGAGTTTGGGCACCGCCCCCTGTCACACACAGAGCAGGGCAGATCAGGGGGTTGGGGCACCGCCACTGTCACACTCAGGACATGGCCGATGGGGAGGTTATGGCTCTACCCCATCACACACAGAGCAGGGCTCTTGGGGTGGGGGTTGGGGCACCGCCTGGATTAGGGTGGGGGTCCCCACTGGGATGCCTAGCCAGCCTGGGTGAGGGGATGATGGCTGTTTGCAGCTGGTCTCTCACCCTTCAGGGTGGGGGTCCCCACTGGGGTGCCTGGCCAGTCTGGGTGAGGGGCTGAGGGCTGTTTTCAGGCTGGCGGGTGACGGAAGCTCCCAACTGCTCCTTCTTTTCTTTTCTTTTTTTAAATCTGGGCCAGCTTTAGCTTTGAGGCTTGGCTCCAGCTCTTAGGCCTCTGCTGCTGAAAGCACGTTTCTGGCCTTTGTTTACCTTCTGCATTTGAAACAATGTTGCGATCCTGCTGGCTGAAGCCCGACCGACTAAAGCAGGTTTCTGGGGTTTTGTTTAGCTTCTGTATTTGTAATATAGTTGCTTAGAGTTGCAGCTCAGAGGCCTGCAGCGGCAGGCGGGGAACGTTGGAGTCCTCCGTCACTGAAGCAAGCAAGCCTTATGTTAGTTTCAAGCTGCCTAGCTGCCGGCCGCCATCTTGGCTGGCAGTTAATTTGCATATCGCCCTGAGTAGCCAATGGGAAGGGTAGCGGTCGTACACTAATTACCATGTTTCTCTTTTATTAGATAGGATAGTTTATTGATTTTTTACAGAGAGGAAGGGAGAGGGATAGAGAGTTAGAAACATCAATGAGAGAGAAACATTGATCAGCTGCCTCCTGCACACTCCCTATTGGGGATGTGCCCGCAACTAAGGTACATGCCCTTGATCGGAATCAAACCCTATCCACTGAGCCAAACTGGTCAGGGCCCAATTTGTATTTCTTAATCCCTTCCTCATTTTCACCCAGCCCCCATCCTCCCTCACATATGGCAAACAGAACCTGAGTTACTTTTAAATGAGTAATTCACTTTGAGACAAAGCTCATCTATATGACAAACGTCTGGTGTTTTTGTGAATCTTCATCTTTCACTCTGAGTTTCAGGTTTTTCTTTCTTCTTTTTTAATAGTGTCAGGTGGCTGTTCACACTGCATCTCATTTTCTATGCTTCTTTCTCATTAAAATAACATATCTGTAGTCCTTTCAGTGTGTCAGCTTGAGCAAGTTCCATCAAAGACAATGGTAATTTATGCCCTAGCCCAGCCGTGGGCAAACTACGGCTCGCAGGCCGGATCCAGCCCGTTTGAAATGAATAAAACTAAAAAAAAAAAGACTGTACCCTTTTATGTAATGATGTTTACTTTGAATTTATATTAGTTCACACAAACACTCCATCCATGCTTTTGTTTCGGCCCTCCGGTCCAGTTTAAGAACCCACTGTGGCCCTCGAGTCAAAAAGTTTGCCCACCCCTGCCCTAGCCGGTTTAGATCAGTGGATAGAGCATCAGCCTGTGGACTGAAGGGTCCTGGGTTTGATTCCAGTCAAGGGCATGTACCTTGGTTTCGGGCACATCCCCAGTAGGGGGTGTGCAGGAGGCAGCTGATCAATGTTTCTCTCTCATCGATGTTTCTAACTCTCTATTCCTCTCCCTTCCTCTCTGTAAAAAATCAATAAAATATATTTTTAAAAAAAGACAGTGGTAATTTAACTGTGTCTGCAGCCAACACCATGTTGGCAAAGAGAAAGACAATTGTAATGCATTTCAAACTCCGAGCTTAGCCCCCTGTCTGCTGCTGCCTAATTCCTCCAAGAACAGTAGTGACACTTAGGGATGTGCTGCCACCAGATATCACGGGGATTGCACCTCACCGCCTGTCCCATGCGGGCTCTGCTGCAACCTATCTTCATGCTCATCGTTCTTTGGAAAATGAACTGACCCCTCCTTATAAATCCTTCCCACCCTGCCCCAACCTTACCCTGGACTCCAATCCTCAGAGTATAGTCCTTTAGAGGTGGAGAGAAAGCTGCTTTGATGAGAAAATAAAGTTCTTACCTGTGTTTTCCCCCTCAGTGTCGGTTGCAGTGGTTTGTTACTTCTCTGCCTTTCACTGGATGGTTGGGCTTTTATTTAAACTCCGATGTGACTTGGCTGTCCTGACCTCTTAAAGTACTGGATTAGAAATGAAGGATTTAGAGTAATGTGAAACTGAAAGCACTGAGTAAAAAGCAGTGATTCAACAACCATAAAAGGAATTTCTGAAAGCTATGCAAATGGAGGGTACATGGATTTTATAGGATTTCTTATCTAGTTCATGACAGGCCAGCAGAGGACATTTGGCTCAGGCAGACTAACTAACGAGAAATCCCAAAGGAGAAAGTGGCCCCAGCCTCATTTCATGGAACAACATGTGGTCACCCTATCTGGCTCAACAGGAGGGAGTCCCACTGAGGGCGCGACAGCAGGCCAAAAAATAACAAAGGCAGCTTACAGCCCACAGCCTCAAGGGCCAGCACTAATAGGGTTGAAGGACAATGGACTCCATGTAATCAGACTAGAACACTTATATCCCCCAGCCTCTGCGCCCTTGCAGTTTTGCACATAAAATTCAACCCTGAGGATAGCGGAGACTGCGTGCTAACCTTCCCTGGTTGTGGCTCCATCCCCCCATTCCCTCTAATAAACTTCCCTCCTGCTTGCTTGCTGTGTCTGCCTAATTCCTTGAGTGACTCTAATCTTACAGTTCAGTTTGACAAAAGCTCCATTGCTGGTTCCTGGTGCATGGAGTTGACCAGATATGGCTCCCTCTTCCCTCTTTCAAGCAGGGTAAGGTATGTCACTGGGAGAGGCAGGCCACCATATTTCTCATCCCCTCCAACACTGAGTTGCACACACTGGAGGCTGGGGCTCCAAACATGTACCCAGACCCACTCGCAGAGTGAAGGCTCTAGCTGATGCACAGCAGGTTGAGATTGCCTGGCCTGCTCACCCTCCCTCTGGCTGACTTGTAGGAAGGAGTTTCCAAGCTGGGAGAGGCACGTGGGGAAGACCAGAGGCTACCACCCCTGCCCAGGAGGAGGAGCAGTGCCTCAGAGATATTTGTCCAGGGAGAGAGGCAGTGCATCATCACAGAGATCTCTGAAGTTCTCCCCCAAAGAACTGATTTTATTGAAACAGTGTGGGGACTTGAAGAAACTTTATTGCTAGCACATTGACTTTACAAAAAACACAAAAGGAGGTTTTCAGGGAGGAAGCAAGTGACTTCAGATGGTAACACAAATCCATGTAGAAAAACAAAGAAAAACACTAAGGGAACTGTGTAATTATAAAAGACAGTATAAATGCAGGTTTATTTTCTTTTCTCCTCTTAACTGGTTTAAAAACAATTGTGTACAACAATTGTATTGCAGGGCCCATGACATTCTTAAATGTAATATATTTAGGAATATGATACCTGATAGTAAGGTGAACTCATAGGAATAAAGAGAACCAGAAATTGTGAGTCAGAAAGTTAATATAACAAGCCCTATACATTTATCCTTTCTCCTTTAGCTTCTTTCAAGACATATGTGGATGAAAGGGCCACATGCTGACCTGACAAGCTTAGGGGAGGCCTGCATGGCAGTCTTGCAAACTCAGAGACCTAAAGTAACCACAAAGGATGGTCTGAAATTAAACTTTAACTAAAAGCAGTTATGGTGGGCAGTTATGTCCTAGGCTGGTATCTTCACTGACAAGGTCAACCTTTACCTTAACTGAGCCTATCTGTCTTTTTGCATCTATGATAACATACCCTTGAAGTGTCTGGGTAACTTGTAATTTCCCTTTTTCTGGACCCCCCTGGGGCACAATCAAATGTGCTGGGCGCCAGGGCAGATACCACAATTTCCTTCATTATCATGTTAGCTGTTCCTGCAGACACCTATGTGTCCATCATTTTACTTTTTATCCAATCCCAGGGGTTTCTCTCCCCCCCAACCCCCACTTTGCTTTCTCCCACCTCTCTAATCTACCACCAGTGGATTTCATGCAACCCACCTAAGTCCCTTCCTTTGATTACTATGTATAAATACAGATGTAACCTGCCAGGGGTCTTGTACATCATCTAGAAGGGTTCAGGAATCCGGAGAAGGGCTGCATGTAAATTATTAAAGAGTCCAGAGATGAAACATAAATTTGGAAGGCATTTTGAGGAGCCAGAGAAGCTTCGCTGTAGGAACCAAGTTCTGTTGTCTTTCTGGACCCCTTGCTTTTTATTAACAAAAATTTTCCTAAAGCAAGGTAGATATACATATCAAAGGCAAGGTTTAGGGGGTTGGGGGAACTGCCTATGGCTGTTCAGGTTTTTGGCCAGTAGGAGGCAATAACATGTAGATTGAAATGCCCTCAGCTGTCTGGCAGCAAGCAATCATCTATGCAAATCTTTAGGTGTGGGGAAATGCCCTTAGCCATTTCCAGCAGGCAATCCTCAAGGTTCCATCAACCTTTTGATGAAACTCTTGCATTTATGACATGCTGGAATTAGTTTCTGGCAGTAACCCGCCAATCTCCAGAGCATTATCTCAATTTGTTGAGGTTCTGCTTTCTGGCATATGTCGACAGTTTGGCTCAAGTAAACTCACAAAAATTCTTTAAAGGTTTCTTTTTTTTTTTTTTTTTTTTTTTTTTAAAGCAAAGTGTGGAAAATTTATTACAAGCAGATTCAGCCTCCCCGCAAGGGGAGGGCGACCTAAGAATGGGCTGCCCATTCAAGCTTTGTAGTCCAGGGGTATATATTTGCTACAAGCCTGCTCTAGGTCTATCTGTGTTGTCCCCTGATTGATTCCCTCAATTGTTTTTGCCCAGCAATGGCCCTAAACTTTTCCTGTGTCTGTGTTCTTTCTCTGTTCCTATGCTGAACTTTTTGTTTCTTTTTAAAAAATAAATATTTATTGTTCAGATTATTACAGATGTTCCTCTTTTTTTCCATTCATGGCTACCCTCCACCTAGTTCCCACCCCACCCCATGCCCTTACCCCCCACCAATGTCCTCATCCATAGGTGTAAGATTTTTGTCCAAACTCTTCCCACACCCTTCACGTCCCCCTCCCCCTGAGAATTGTCAGTCCACTCCCTTTCTATGCCCCAGCTTCTATTATATTCAGCAGTTTATTCTGTTCATCAGATTATTTTTATTGACTTAATTTTTAGATTCACTTGTTGATAGATATGTATTTGTTGTTCCTTTGTTGTTCATAATTTTTATCTTTACCTTTTTCTTCTTCCTCTTCTTAAAGAATACCCTTCAGCATTTCATATAATCCTGGTTTTATGGTGATGAACTCTTTTAGCTTTTTCTTGTCTGTGAAGCTCTTTATCTGACCTTCAATTCTGAATTATAGGTTTGCTGGGTAGAGTGTTCTTGGTTGTAGGTTCTTGCTAGTCATCACTTTAAATATTTCTTGCCACTCCCTTCTGGCCTGCATGGTTGCTGTTGAGAAATCAGCTGACAGTCGTATGGGTACTCCCTTGTAGGTAACTAACTGTTTTTCTCTTGCTGCTTTTAATATTCTCTCTTTGTCTTTTGCCCTTGGCATTTTAATTATGATGTGTCTTGGTGTGGTCCTCTTTGGATTCCTCTTATTTGGGGTTCTCTTCGCTTCCGGGACTTGTAAGTCTATTTCTTTCATTAGGTAGGGGAAGTTTTCTGTCATTTTTTTAAAATAGGCTTTCAATATCTTGCTCTCTCTCTTCTTCCGGCACCCCCATAATTCAGATGTTGGTACGTTTGAAGTTGTCCCAGAGGCTCTTTACACTATCTTCATATTTTTGGATTCTTTTTTCTTTTTGCTTTTCCAGTTGGGTGTTTTTTTTTGCTTCTTCGTATTTCAAATCTTTGAGTTGATTCTTGGGATCCTCTAGTCTTCTGTTGGATCTCTGTATATTCTTCTTTATTTCAATCAGTGTATGCTTAATTTCTGACTGGTTCTTTTCCATTTTTTTGGTATTCTCATTAAGATCCTTGAAGGTCTCACTAAGTTTCTCGGAGGTTTGTAGAAGATTCTTGAGTAACCTTATAACTGTGGTTTTAAACTCTAAATCCAGTAATTTGCTTTCCTCCATTTCTTTCATTTGTGACATGTTTCTTTGTCTCCACATTTTGGCTGCTTCCCTGTGTTGATAGAGTGGCTTTGTGTGGTAGGTGTCCTATTTGGCCCAGTGGCTCAGCCTCCCCTATCACCTGAGGTGGACACTCTTGGTGCACCCCTTTGTGGGCTGGGTGTACAGTCTTGTTGTAGTTAAGCCTTGATTGCTGTTGGTATCCCTGGAATCAAATGACCTCCAGGCCAATTGACTGCAAGGACCCGCTGTGTCTATAGTGGACAAACTGCTGTGCTGGAGACACCCTTATGGTGCAGGACTTGCTTCAGTGGGGCTTTGGTCCTCACTGAGTCTGCCTCTTGACTATGTCACTTATGGATGTGAGGAGTTGAAATCTGGTATCTGGCCACTGGGTACACTGGCTCCTGGATCTCCAAGGAGCTGCAAATTCAGCCACAGTGTGAGTCCACCCGGCAGGAGCTACCGAGAGATCTGCAAATTTCTCCTCTTTTTTGGGGGTTTGGAAATTTTTGAGCTCTCTGACCCAACTGCAGTTTGTTAGGTTAGGCTGCAAAAGGGCAGGTGATTCATTTGCACTGTTGCACACAGCTTGGGTGGGGTTGTAAATTGAGTGGGGTGGGGTTTCAGAGAATCAACTGGGCAGAGCAAACAGTGATGGCTGTCGTCAGCCATCTCCGCGACTCCGGCATCTCTGCGACTCCGCACGTCTCCGTGTGTCTCCGCATCTCAGTGTCTCCGCATCCCCAGGTCCCCTAGCCCCACACCCCCACAGTAACAGTGATCCCTGTGAGCACTTCTGCAAGAAAGCCACCCTTGCTTTCCGACACAATGCCACACAGTCCAGTTTCTCCCCACAGGAGTCTGGGTCCCTACAGTCTTGCTGGAAACGAGTTCACTGCATTTGGGAGCTTGTATCTCCCAATTGAAAAAAACTGCACACCCAGGTGCAGCCCGGTTCGCGCACCTCCATATCTCTGCTCTACCCAGCCTCAATGTGCTTTTTTCTTTCCTTCTAGTTGTAGA